CCCCCCCCCCCCCCCCATCGCTGGCCTCTGGAAAGTCGGCGGCCGCGCGACTCGGCGGGAGACCCGCCGTTGGGCTGGAGCTGGCGGCGAGGGGGCGGAGGCAGGCAGGCCGGGGCGGGCTGGGCCGGGGGGCTACCGGGAAGCTGGCCGCGGGGCGCGGGTGGCCAAGGCGGCCTGGGCGACTGAGAGGGCGGAAGAGGAGGGCGCCGCGAGGCCGGGCGGCGAGAACGGCCGGCACAATGGGGGGACGCGGCTGCCGCGGGAGCGAGGCCCGACTCCCCGAAGTCCCGCGCCGGAGCTCAGAATAAAGTTTCCGTTCTCCCGAGACCGCACCCCCCCCGCAACGCCCACCCGGGACCGCGTCTCATCGCCCTCCTCCCCGAACTCCACTCGGGACCTCACAGCCACCCTAGCGTCGCAGCCCGCACAACAAAAGAGACACACCGAGCGGCGAGGGTAAACAGCGGCGGGCGGCTCCGAGTTCTGCTGCGGCAGCCCGGCTCCCCGATGCCGCGGGCTTCGCTCCCGGCTTCACACTGTTTGGAATTCCCATCTCACCCGCACCTCTCGCACCCCAGCGGCTCAAACTCACCTCTACTTTCGAACTGAGAGTTACGGTGGATGGGATTTTCGCCTTCCCCAGATGAAGGTTAAGCTTTTGGAATCCCCACCGCTTCCTTATTTCTGTTATAATTTCTCCAAGAAAAGTCTACGGAGTTGGAGTGGACGTGAGGTTTGTGATCGGGAAAGCCCTGACTCCCTCCGTCTCCTTCTTCCGCCGCTCTCTCTCTGATTAGTTCCTATCCAGCAGCAGATTGAAGCAGGAGATGATTCTTCTCAAGGTTTGTTCAGCAGCTTCACTTCTAGGCGAAGGCTTCATGAACCAAGTGACGTCAACCAACAAGGCTTCTCTCTCTCTCCTCTCTCTCTAACAATGAAAGTTGCTGTTAACAAGGGAAAAAAGGAGAGAGAGAATTGTTTATACCATTTCAGTTCCAATAATAAATGACCTATCAGCTCCTAAAGGAGCCAAGGGAGGGGGCTGCTTCTTCATTCCAAGAATACTGTATCTTTGAGTTTGTTCCGCTCCTCGTCCCAGGAAAAAGTTAAGAAACTTAAATTTTTTTGTTTTGCTTTTCAGAGAGGGAAAAAAAGGGAACACAAGTTTTTTTTAAAACGTAAACGAATAGAGAACACAGGTCAGCCATCTCCACCAACTTTAATGTTCATAAACTGGGAATACTGTTTAAGCCCACGAACTAAATTAATATGCCAAGAATTTGTGCATGTTAGGACTCAAAAAGCAGACCGCAAGACGATCCCAAGGTATAATGCTTTTCTTTCCACGGGCTAATTAAACTGGCTGTAATGTTTATGCACGGAGTCAAAATTTAAATGAAAGACGTTTAAATAGTCGTTTTAAAGTTTACGTACAAATTGTAAACCGTAATTTCTATTTATTTCTAGTTTCGGAGATTTTAAAAAGCAGCTAGTTAATTGTAGGAACTGAACACTTTAAAAGATCAGGTTGTAAGAGCAGCCCAGTAACTCACATCTTTATACACGCAGTACACTATTCGACCCCCAGAATCTCAACCAACTTAACTCAATTTTTAACCTTCCCCATTCCCACACCCCTCATCCAATCAAGTTAAACTAAAGGTAAAGTAAACCCCGTTCCCCCCTACAAAGTCTACCCACAGCGTCCTAAAAACGATTAAGAAAAGAAATATCAGCCTTGGTAACACTTTCTTACCAATGAAGGTAATTTTTTAAAAACATTAAGGTGGGTTTTTTCCCTCCGCCCTTAAAAACACATTAAAGTCTCAAAGTTTATATAATTAACAAATTTCATAATTTAATTTTCAGGATGAAGAGCATGTAAAAATAGCTATAAAGAATAATTTGACCATATATGTATTTTTATGCATACATGTGGCTAGATGTATCTTAAAAGATGCCATTGTTTTATGTTTCCTCCTCAACCACTGGCTGTGATTTTAATTGTGCTGGAGGATCTTCATTAGTATTAACACATGGGGAGATTTCACAAAGCTGCTTCATTAGGAAGAAAAAAAAGCTGGCAGACTAGGTCTTTTTGCATGCACTGAGAATGTCAGCCTTACCTCGGTCATTTGTAACATAATAAGTGCAAGTACAATGATTGCAAGGCAGGAGCACTGGGGGAAGGGCAGCAATACTGCCTGTCTAATGGGGGTATCTCAAAAGAAGGCTGCTCATTACATAGTAAAATGTATGCTAAAAATTAGTGACGACGATGTCTCAGGAGACTGATGCTAAATAAATTAATGTGCTGATATGTTTTTAATTATTATTTTTGTAATAGTTTATTTCATTCTTAGGATTCACATTGAGCAGCAAAGCTGTGCTAGCACTTATTGATTTTTTTTTCCCTGCCACATTCCCGGAATACAGATTTTAATCATTTCACTACACCACACTCAGTAATTTCATTAAAAAGTGGAATCTTCCATCCCCAGAAAAGCATTTAATTTCAGTGACATACAATTTCTCTTTTAGCAGCAAACTGTCTCTATAGTAAACGCTGGCCTAAGGTTCAAATACATAATTTAATCCCGAGTTTTCCATGCTCTGCATTCCTTTCAAGCTATAATTTGAGTAACTATCTAATAACTGTAATAAAGACAATAATTTCCTTATAATATATTATTAACTCATATTTAATTAACTCAGAGGCCAAGCTCTATACATGTATCACTAGGTCAACAATCCACCATCTCAAAATTTACTAATAATGTTCCAAAAGAAAAATAGATTAAAATACAAGTCTGAATGACAACATGTAGCTTGGGATCTCAAGTCACAGTCAAAAAGTTCTTTTGTTATTCTTTAATGGTGGTCAGTCCTGAAATATTTAGATGTAAACAATGGAACTTAGTGATGTTTCTGTATATAAAGTTAGGATGTTGATATTTTAACATCCACTACTGACACTTTTTCTAGTTAAAAGTATAAGAAAACAACTGACTTCAAGTTGTCTTGCTTTTCTGAGTTCTCTTAAGATACAATTTTCCTGGAATACAGATAAGTGGTGGACTGTAACTTGTGTAACTAAGAATATTTCTCGTTTTCATATTTCATGTAAATACAGTCTAATCTTTTATTCTTAGAATATTTTAATGTAAACTTTGGTTTATAGATGAAACATTGGTTTCCCAAACAATGAGCTTCATAGGATATATAATTTAGATTGCTTGGCTTTTGTCACTTTTCATAGGATAAAAACACGGAACATTTAAATTTTTTATAAGGTAAACTAATAATGAACATAGGTCAGCCATCCCCATCAACTTTAAGTTCATAAACTCGGAATTGTGTTTAAACCTACAAGCTAATATGTCAAGAATTTGTGCATGTTAGACTCAAAAAGCAGAACGCAAGATAGTCCCAAAGTAAGAGAAAAAAAAAAAAAAGCTGTGGGGAGAAAATGTTATTAAAATTAAATTTTGGAAATATGCCTAATGAACAAAAAATAGATATATGAATAATCAACTAGCTACTGTATAAAAATGTATCAGTCCCTTGAATGATTGTAAAACTATAGATCAAACTTTAAAAAGTAGACATATGTAGTTTTAAGGTAAAGCTACCACTAACCAAGTTGTCTTATCTTTAACTGTATGATAACTTTAACTGTTAAGTGACTTAAACAAGATAAGCATCATCATCTTGAAAAAGTTTAAACATAGGATGAAGGTGGCAATACTGAATTTTATTTTAGTGTCTTTTTAGAACATTTGAAAATTATATTTATGCGGTTCAAGGGCTCTCTGTATAATTCGGGAAATACTTTTGTAATATTCTCAAAAATAAAGTTGGGTAAAAATCAGTCAATAACAATCATTTGTAAATGAAAACTATAGACACCTAAAGTTATAAATGAATTTTTATGTTATATTAACTCAATAATAGAAAGATTTCTGTTTATATTCAAATACAGCTTTGGAGTTTTTCATGCTATTTGGAAATTAAATACTTTATCAAATTTAGCCTATACTTTTAAACTGATATTTTAAAATAGTAATGTACTAGAAATTTTTGAAATAGATTACTCCAAGTACTTGACACCCTCTTACAAAGTTGTGCTTTGTTTTTTTGTTAATATCATTCTTCCCTTTTTCATGTTGTCACATTTGATCATTTCAACAATTAGAACATAATCAGAATTGAGGAAAATGAGATAAAATAATGAGTAGCATTATAAAATAATTCCATCACTACAGCACTTAGTTCTCTACCCAAGATCACCTAAATTAGCACTTAATCATGTACACAATTATGAAAGAATTAATGATCAAGGAGATCTTTTCTAATCTTAATAATTATAAAGCAACATCTATTTTTAGGAGCAAGGAAGAGATAGAGAGATATTGAACTTGTTACAATGAATCCTGTTAGTGGTTCCTCAAAGAGTAAAGAATATTCCAACAAAGAAAAACAAACAAAAGCTCTCAATAATGTAACAAACTGTCCACTGTCATATCTTGTTTGTTTCAACCACTACAGACTAATGAAGCTTTATTTGTTTTCTTTCATTGAACAAACATTTGAATGCTTGCTATAAGCTATGCACTATACTAGAGACTACAGAAACATGAAGACTCACTTTCTCACTTTGAAATTCCTGAGGGATAAATCACATAAAGATACAAGTAAGTTTTGTGAAAATAAAGATGACCAGGAGATGTAAAAGTCTTTATTAACAACTCCATTTGAACTGAGTCTCCTAAGTTCCCACCTGACAGAAGTCAGGGGATGGGGACAGGGAGGTATTCTAAGAGAAAGAACCAAAGTATAAATACATGTAGCTACTAGCCTGCTGTTCATTCACTGTAAGAAATTAACTTTAATAGGAATATTCAATGTGAGGGATGAAGAAATGACAGGGGTGGCATGATAGGAGTCAAAATCACAAGAGACTGGGATCTAAGACTGAAAGGCCTAATGCACTAGGGTAAGGTGCACTGAGTTTATTGAGAGCCAACAAATGTTAGTAAAGGATTAACATGATTGACCTTGATTTAAAGGAACAATAATTACACAGGCAGTGCAAATGATAGTCTATAGTATGAAAAGATTGGTTAACAGGGCACTAGCCTAGTATAATGATTTTGGCTTGTAATTCCAGGACATGGGAGGCTGAGGTAGAAGGATCCTCACAAGTCCACGAGTTTGAGGCCAGCCTGGGCTACATAGCAAGACTATCACAATAAATAAAATGAAATAAGCAGTCCATTAAAAAAAAAAAAAAAGGTGATAAAAGATAGTAGCACTGGACTCTTAGGGTCAGATATCGAGGACAATTTTCAATTTGGTGACTAATGACAAGGCAAGGAAAGAGTGGAGGGGTCAATGCTAGAGTCATTGAGTCATTAACTGATTCAGAATATGTAAGGAAACAAGTCATAAGACAGTCTGGAATTACAATTTAATACTATGTTCTACAGGACTTTTTTGTAATTTTATTTATTTTTTCATTTATTTATTTTTTTGGTCTTTTTGAGACAGGGTCTCCGTGTAGCCCCAGCTGTGCTAGAACTCACTATGTAGACCAGGCTGGCCTTGAACTCACAGAAATCCGCCTGCCTCTGCCTCCCAAATGCTGGGATTAAAGGTGTGTGCCACCATGCCCAGCTAATTTTATTTTATTTTATGTGTATACGTGTATTGCCTGCATGTAGGTAAGTGCACCCATGATGTGCAATGCTCGCGGAGGTCAGAAGAGGCTTTCAGATCCCCTGGGACTGGAGTTATAGACAGTTGCTAGCTGCCATGTGGGTTCTGGGATTCGAACCCGGGTCTTCTGCAAAAACCAGTGTTCTTAACCACAGAGCCATCTCTCCAGCCCCTACAGGACTTTTTAAAAAGGTATTTATCACAATTAGTTGTAAAGCTTTTCCAAAATGTATACCCCCAAATTCAATCCCAAAAGGAGATTCCCTAGAAATCTAGACAGGAGTCAATTACTTCCTTCTTTTTTCCCTTCCTCTTCTCCCCTTCCTTTCCCTTCCCTTCCTCTCTTAAAAGAGCTTCTGAAAAACATTTAAAAACCACAGCAGAAATTGATTACAAAGGGAAAAACAAAGAAAGAAAAGCATAGAAAGCCTTGAAAAAGAAAGAGTCGAGGGTAATCACATCAGATATTAAATTGTTATAAAACTTTTATAAAATTTAACTGTTGATAATTAAGAATAAAGACAGTGAAACCCAACTGAGAAACTAACAAGTGGGTTTGGAAATTTAGTATACATGAAAGGTGTCTCAAAACAGGGAGAAAGACAAGAACTTTTTAATAATGCTTAAATAACTGGATATTAATAAGGAAAAAGATAAACTCTAGATCTGTTCCACAAATAACTTTCAAAAAGATCAGACATTTAGATGTAAAAAAATTGTATCATATATGTGGTAGGAGAAATAGTTGGAGAATTCCTAAATTAGAGAAGGGGGAAAACTTTCCTAATCACAGGCAAAATTAGATACAGCAACAGGAAAGACTGGTAAATTTCACCACATCAAATAAAAAACTTTATGAAAAAAAAAAGGGAGGAAACCTTCACAAGCAGAACAAAAAGATAAATGACAAATGTAAAAAACCCTTTTGTAACATATGTAACAATTTAATAACCTGATATATAATGAATATCTAAAAATAGAGAAGAAAACAGGATAGCAAACTGGCAAGCAATATAAACAGGTTTTATAGGAAAAAAAAATGCAAATATTTCTTGAATAAAAACATCCACAACCTTATTGTAATGAGAAATGAAACTTAACTCAGATACAGTTTCACATGCATTATTTTGGCAAAAATCTAAGTTTCATAATACAGGCTATTAGTAAGGATCTTTTGGGGAAAAGAGTACTTGCATACCATTTTTACTTTTAACCTTTTGGAGTACAAATTGGGAGAAAAATCCCAACACGGAAGAATTTGACAGCTTCTAAGAAAGTTACTATGTATGTACTTTCGGAATAACAAAACTCACTTTCAAAAATCTGACAATGATGAAAATAGGTATATAGGAAATTATTGACTGAAGCACTGTTTATTATAGAAAAAGCCTAGAAATAAACCAAGTGTCCGATTTAGAATAATGGATGCATTAATCGTGGTATATCCACACAGTAGAGTACCATGCAAATTTAAGGAATTAATGTGATGTGAAGCACTTAACACTGAACTTGAGAAAATACTGGAAAAAAAAAAAGGTTAAAGGAAAAACTTGTATGCCATCGATATTTACCTAGTTTTTAAAAAGTGAAATGATCAAACCAAAAAATGTTTACCTATGAGGATGAAGGGAGTAGGGTAGCAAAAATAGCACTAGTTTATGGATTCTTATCTGTTCAGTAGATGTGATTTGGGAACTATAACATTATTATAAAACAGAACTGAAAAGTAATTTCATATAAAGAAAAGCTACATGAAATAGATTACCTTATGTGTATATGGAATTGGCAGCAGAAATGTACAGAAAAGAACTATTCCAAGTCATTTTAAAACACAATAATAGGGCTGGGGAGTAGCTCAGTGGTGGAGCGTGTACTAGTATACTAGTGTGATCTCCTGTGTTCAGTCCCCAGCAGCCACCAAACAAGTCAGTCATACCCATACATTCTTTGGGCTGCACCCTAAGAAAAAGAATTTCAAAGTAATAATAAAAAGCAAATTAAACTATTACCAGTAAATATATTTTTGTGTTATTACTAGTAGTGTTATAATATTCTAAATTGGTGTTTGGGGTAGATTAACTTTTGGTGTCGGGTGTGGTGGCACACACCTTTAATCCCAGAACTCAGGAGGCAGAGGCAGGTGGATCTCTGTGAGTTCGAGGCCAGCCTGGTCTACAATGTGAGTTCCAGACTACCTGGAGCTACAGGGAGACCCTGTCTCAAAAAGACCAAAACAAACAAATAACAACAACAAAACATGAAAAATTGTAAATTGTTATGCTTTAAAATGACCTCATTATATATATTTTATATTTAAAAACTGTGTATTTCTGGGGCTGGAGAGATGACTCAGGAGTTAAAAGCACTGACTGCTCTTGCAGAGGACCCAGATTTGATTTTGATTCCCAGCACCCACATGGTGGCTAACAACTGTCTGGAACTCCAGTTCCAGAGGATCTGACCCCTTCTGTTTTCTGCAGGCACTGCATGACATGGGGGCACTTACTTACATGCAGATATAACATTCATACACATAAAATAAAAAGAAACAAAAACTGCATATTTCTTAGGACTTGCCCACTGTGAATGCCTAGAAGTAAGGACTAGTGCAGTCTCAACCAGCACACACTATAGTATAGTCTCTAAACACCATCTGCCTGTGAAAAGAATTTCCCAAAGCAAGAGCTGATCCTAAGTTTTGGGCAAAAATATTTAGGATGAATTTAGAATATTCTGCCATACTACTAAGCATGGAAACCATCAAAGATTATTGATGCTTGTCAAAAGGACTTGGGAGACAATTTGAGGAGACCAAAATGAACTATGTCCCATTGGCCACATGAGACAATGTGAACATCATTAAAAATAGAGCAAATCACAACAAATGCATATTTTTTAATGATATTAAGGACCCACATTAATTACCTTTTTTGTTGCTATGACCAAATTCCTGACAAGAGGCAACTTGAAAGAGGAAAGTACTTGTGCTCTCCACTCCAAGAGTACAGCATATCATGGCAAGGAATGCACAGCCTCAGGAGGCTTTGTGAAGACAAAAGCATGTGGCAGCTGCTTGAAGCTCAGCAGAAGAGGAAGCAAAGATAGGACAGGAAATGGGACCAGTATCCAAACCTCAAAGCCTGTTCCTCAGTTACCTACCTTTTCCAGCCTAAGCCCCACTTTCCAAAGGTTACAGTCTCCTAAAACACTGCCACTAGCTATGGATACAGGTTAAAACATAGGAGCCGATGGACATTTTACATCCAAAGCATAAGATGAACCAAGTGATTATTTGTTCATTGAGGGTTATTTGTAATTTTTTTTGTTATTTCACAGTGCAGAAATTTAACTTAGGGCTTTCACAGTTTTAAGTGCTTGCTA